TGAGAGAGACAGGGAGAAGGAGAGAGAGAAGCAAAGGAGTTGTACATCACTTCAGGTTTTGTAGTTAACTGGTGGAGAGCTGTCCACACTCACAGGTGAAATGCTTATTTCTTGGAGGACCAGGAGGAGGATGGGACAAGGTAGCCCATAGAACAGGGAGACCACATTGTTTGCATATGTGGGCCACAGTAAGAAAGCTGCTGAAGAATTTAGTTTTTACCCTGATTGAGTCAAAGATACAGACTAGGAGAGAGGGAGGGAACTTGACTGCTGTTAGTGAAGAGCCACAGGAGCTAGAACTGTAACTCAGAAAGCCTGGCAAGAGCTTGGAGAGAAAGGTGTGATGTGATGACACAGGGCACTGAGCGTGATTATAGTAGAAACTTGGGAGACATGACAGCAGTTAAAACAACAGTGTCAGTGGACCATTGGTGTGGACGGTATACCTTTATGTTATAGAAGCAGAAACAGCCATGGACTGCTTAGAGGACACACCTGATTACAGCCAAAATCGGTTTGGGTACTGATACTGTACATGGTGTGACATTGCCTCTGAAAGTCTGAAAATGTTTTTTGCCCAAGGTCATGGTGAGTAATTATGAACTATAAGCTTAAAAGAAAAAAACTTGCGTGGCAGTGCACGCCTTTAATTCCAGCACTCAGGAGGCAGAGGCAGGCGGATCTCTAATTTCAAGGCCAGCCTGGTCTACATAGTGAGTTCTAGGTCAGCTGGGGCTACAGCTGTCTCAAAAAGACCAAAAAAAAAAAAAAAGGAAAAAAAGACTTGAAGTAGAGAATATTTAATAGGGAGTAGCTGAAGGTTTGGGTTAGGGTGAAAATGAACAATAACAAAGAAAGGGGAAATGCTAATTTTTAAAGTTCTTGTCTTCTGTTAAAGCCGGTTGGGATACACATACACTTAACAATGTTTCTTAGAAATAGATGAAAGAATAGGATCTGTGCCTATGGTAACCATCCCAGCACATCCTGTTTTAGATACATCTCTCCTCCTCTTTTCTTCCCAGCCAGACCCCTCCATCCTCTCTTCTTTCCCTCCCTCTCTACTTGTCTCTGCTCTGTTCTGAGAATTGAACTCAGGGCCTTGTGCCTGCTACACATATGCATTTCAAATGTTCTGTTATCTTCCTACAAACCATCTGTGTGGTGTGCTGTGGCTATTTTGACGATGTATTGGTTGGCTTAAACAGCAGATATTTTCACAGTCTGAAGGATAGGAAGTCTCAGATCAAGGTGACAGGCAGTGTTTTTTTGTTTTGCTTTCCTCTCTTCTGTGCTCTCCCTGCCTGGTAGACAGAAAACTTTCATTCTCCTGTTCTGTTTGTAAGAGTTCTAATCCCATCATGAAGACTGCACTCTCATGACTTAATTTCCTCTCAGTTGCCCATTTCCAGTTACCATCATACTGTGGATTAGGGCCTCAATTTAAGAATTTGGGGGAGATACAGTTCAATTCACAGTACCATCCAGATGAACTACAAGTTTCAGGATTTGAGTCCAACTATTCCAACCACATTTAAAAAAATATTTATTATTTATTATTTTATGTGTATGTGTGTATTGCCTGCATGTAGGCAAGTGCACCCGTGCAATTCCCACGGATGACAGAAGAGGCCATCAGATCCCCTGGAACTGGAGTTTCGGACAGTTGTTAGCTGCCATGTGGGTGCTGGGATTCGAACCCGGGTCTTCTGCAAGAACAACCAATGTTCTTAACCACTGAGCCATCTCTCCAGCCCCAACCAACCACAGTTTTTTTTGTTGTTGTTGTTGTTGTTTTTTTAGTTTTGAAACCAGTTTTCTGCCACCTCCTGAGGGAGGATTTAGTGTGTGAGTGTTCTTCATAGGGTTTCTCAGAAGAAAATAGTAGCTATTTAAGGCATTCATGTGGTAGGAGAGTCCACTGACTTCTGATCTGATGGGTTATCTTTTCTTAAATATATTCTAGGATTGGGGATGTATTTCTGTGGTAGAGTTCTTGCTTAGCATGTATAAGGCCCTGGGTTCTGCCTCCAGCACCCAGGGGAGTAGGGGATATAGGGAAAAGATGTTCTAGAAAACTGTATTTATCCAGGAAAAAAGTACCAGAAGAAATGCTGCTGCTGGCAGTGCTGCCTCCTCCTCTTCCCCTTCTCTGTGTCTTCTTCCTCCCTCCCCTCCCCCTCTGTCTTCTTCCCCCTCCCCCTCCTCCTTCCCCTCCTCCTA